AATAATGATGAGAGCGATAATTGAACTTAATCAGTGTTTATCATTTCGTTTTCTCATTTCTTAGCCTCATCAATCTCGAACCTCTAAAGTAATTGATTCAACCAACTGACCATTGGCTATTGTTGTCATTTGGAAATAGACATTTGATTTAAATGATATTGAACTTTTTTTTCATATTCTTTAATCATTAATCAATATTATCTAATTATCACAATCAAAAATGTTTCCATTGCGTGTACAAAGTGTAAGAAAGTTTTTCTTGTTAAGGTAATTTGTTGATTACTGTTATTATTTTGATTAATTTGTACTAATCAACATAATTAAAAGTTTTAATGGTTTAATGTTTTTTGATTTTAATTGTTGAAATTATGGTTAAAATTAGATGAACGGATCTTAGTTAATTAATATGAGTCAGAATCGGATTTAATTTATCATCTTTTTCCTCCCACATGGTGATGATTATCATGATTATCATCTTAATCATCTTAATCAACTCATCCTTAACTTTTGGGATTCTCATTATTTTTCATAAGCTTCAATAGAATTAGTTAATTGTTGTGATTTATAATTAACCAGTTTACTCCCATGAAATTGTAAATAACTATTATTATCAATTCTGCTTCTGATGATTCCCTTAATCACTTAGTCTTTTCTTGATAATCAATTTAATTGTTTCCGAGTTTAATTGTCATCATCTGATTTTTTATTGTCTATTAATATCAACAGTAATCATTGTAACCTTTAAATACCTCAAAATTAATCACAATCAACTAATTGAACCCTTAAATTGACCAAGCAATTTAATAACGATTGTTCAATCAAAATAACAATTTCCTTTTAATTTGTTGATTGTTGTTGATTGTTTGTTTTCTTTAATCATTAATCACTTAACCAGTGTAGCAATAGGAAATGAGTTTAAAAAAAACAATAACAATCAACAATTAAATTGACCTTCCCTTTCAAGTTATTATATTATTAGCAGTATTAAATTAAATAGTAACAATTTGTATTGATAATTGATTGTGTTACTTTAATTTCCTGCAATTTAAGTTACAAAAAATAAGGTAACATAATCATTGACTAATTGTATTCAATTAAGATCCTACTAATCATAATTATTTACCCGTTAGCAAATTATTTTGTATCATCAATCAATGGTCAGTTATCATGATCAAATTGTTGACCAGTTAATTAATAGATTTTGATGATAATTATCTAGATGATTATTATTAGATTATCATCTCGATTGGATTGAGCTTAATCCAGAATTGAAATGGTCAAGATGAACTGGTCATCTCAATCTAATTACTGACCCTTGTTACCAAAATGGTCAAGTGTTAATTGAAGGATAATAATATTCACCAACCTCATTGATCCTCATCTTAATTGCTCTGAATTTTGATTCTGTTTCTTGATTAAATTGTTATATCGGATCAAGAATGTTAATTGACTTTTCTAGGAGTGTTTAAGTAAATAATTAACATTAACTATTCAAATGAGTTAATCATCATGAAGATAAGATGATTTAAGTTTTTGAGGCCTTAATCATTTGCTTAGCCTAATCCCTTAATTGTTAACAATTTATTCTTGAATTGATCATAATGAATGAGAAAAAAACAAATTGAAACGATGAAATTATGATTAACCCAACAATGGATTTTAATTGTGATAATTATTAAGGAAAACTGATTCCATATTGTTTACAATTAATCTGAACTTTGTTAACCAACAATTTAATTTAATTCATCTCGATTAAATCTCTAATTTACTCTTAATTGTTGAATGTGTTGAAAACTAATTGTTTTTGCTTTTGTTCACAACAACAATTTAATTGAATTCAAGTTTTTTGGTGAAATTAAATTAACCTAAATAATTAACGATACTGAGATGATACAATTGTTGTTGATATTAATTATTGATTACAATTAGTATACAAAACTATTACATAATAATAATTTCACTTAATCATGATTAACCATTGAAAATGATTAAATCACTGAACAGCGTGATTCAAGTTAATTAACTAAATGATTAACTAACTATAAGTGTGGATATTTTTTTTTGTAGGTCCAATGATATAACTCAATGGCTTTTTTTTCACAGTATTTAAAACTAATTACAATTAAAATTGAATCACAATTAACTATTAAAAAGTTAACATTTGTTTTGGTAAAATAAATTATGATTTCAATCAAAAGTTTTTTAATTAACTATCAATGTCAATTGAGTTAATTATTCTGGTTGATTGTTAGGTGAAATTTGAAAGTAACCAAGAAAAATCAAAATTCTGATTGAAAAGTTACCTTGAAGTTTTCTTGATTGTGATGATAATTTTCAATCTCAACCTTAAATTGTTCACAATCAAGTTAAAAGTTAACCAAATGATTAAGTAGGAGTTAGATCAAGTTGATTTTAACAACAATTAACTACTGATTCTGATCAATGTTGTTAAGTGTCAATATCTCGACCTTATTCTTGATTGTTAATCACTTGTTAAGATAAAGAAAAAAGTTTAATAACAATTTATTATTATCGATTTGGTGGTTAACTTGATTATCCCCGATTATTGATTCAAACAATTTAACGATTAATAAAAATGCTTCTCGATTGGTCAAGACTTGCCCTTTCACTTGACCAGTTAACTGATTAACCATTTACGATTAATTGTGATTTAATCGGTAATCTTGATTACAATTTATCGTCAATATTAATCAACTATTAACTTTTTCTTTATTGTATTTTAATGCTAATAACAACAATTTAGTTAATTGTGATCAACCAATGAATTATTACCTTATAATCAGAGTGTTTAGTTAATTACTTTGGTCTCTTATTTCACAATTAGATTAAATTTTTGTTTCTTCAACTTTTAATTATATTGTTTTATTTATTTTTCCTTATTATTAACCAATTAATTAACTAACTAATCAACTAACTGTACATATATTATTAACATTTATCTTTGATTAACTTTAATTGTTTGAAAATTAATCCTTAATTGTGTGAGTGTGTCTATGCCTTTCAGGGTTTAATCAATATTTTCTTGTTAAAAGTTAAATTGTTTACTTAATTATTCAAATTGCTTTTATATGGTAACTAAATCTTATTAAATTAATCATTAATTCACCTTTTTCAATCACCTGTTAATCAATTGTTTAATTAACCTATAGTTTTATTGATTGTGATCAAAGGATATAATATAATTAATTGTTGAGGTTAATCTTGTTGATCAAAGTTTTTCAACCAACAACAATCAAATTGTCAACTTGATAATTAATAAATTAGTTGCTTGTATTAATATAAAAAAACATTTTGTGGTTACTTTTAATTTCATTTAATTTTTTGCCTCTTAATCAACTCAATCTTTAATTACTAATTGTTAATTGTTACAAGTTTTACAACTAAAATAACAGTTAATTGTTTGATTGTATTTGTTATAACAAAATTAAACAGGAAACAGGAAAACGGAAGATGTTACAATTTAATCAACAATTAAGACGATACAAAATCAAGACAATTTAAAGTTTATCAAATTGATTATCAAGTCATATTAAATTGACAATTACTGAAAATTGTTTAAATGTTGATTATTAATTAATTGATGATTCGTCAATTAATATAATTAATAGAAAATTATAGAATTTGATGCTACCAAAAATCGTAATTAAGAAAATTATTATCAGTTAAATTAATTCTTACGGACTGTTTATTAAGTTTTGTTGTTTAAATTTAGGAAAATTTTTTTTTTAAATTTTTTAAATCGAAAATCAAAGATGGAAATTTCATCTACCTGGTGGTATGTAAAAATTGTAATTAACTTGATCAGTTTTCTAATAATTTCAATTTGAAGAAATAATCAGTAAATCAAAAATCATTTTTTCTCTTTATAATGGTTGCCTATGAAGCACTTTACATTGTTTTCTCCATAGAGGGAGCATTAAGGTTTCATTAATTTTCAACAATTAGTCTTAAAATAGTTGTTAATTTTATGGCAATTATCGGATTTAATATTATTTAATATCATTAGAATGCTCATAAACTGTTCTATCGTTGGTGAAAATTTAAATGATTAAAACAAACTGATTGATTAATAATCAATAATTAAAGTTATGTGTCAATTTTCAGTTGCACTACCTAAATTGTTGACAATTAATATCCTTAGTTTAATTTGGTTGGATTCTAGTGTTAATTATATTGATCAAAGGATTATTTTTAATTGTCATTGATTTTATATTATCAACCGAATCTAATTAATGCTGAAAATTTGATTTAATTGATAAGATTTTAAATGATTTTTGTCTCGCTGATTTTAATCATAATTAATTGCTCATTTCGGCAATAATTAAGTAACAATTTACAATTAATATGTTAATAGTTTAAAAATTAATGGAAAACTTTTATATTGATTTAATAATCTAAATTAGTGTCTGCTAATTGTTGCAATTAACCAGGTTATTGATCTCATAGGGTCTCTTAATTGTAGTAATTAAAAAAGATGTGTACCTTTGTCCCTTAATTGTTTGGTCAATTAATTGTCCTAAATTGATAATAAAACTACATCATCATCTCTAAATCAAGTGCTGTTTATTTAACTAATTGTCCGTAATTGATTTTAATACAGCTATTAGTTGATTGTTAACACTGGCAATTAACTACAATCTAAATTGATTACCTGATGCAAAGTTTGATAGCAATTGATAGTAAATTGTTAAGTGAAAACATTGAAATCTTTAATTGTTGTAAAAAGACTTGTTGGAAACAATTGATTAATTTGATTTGATTGTAATGATTACCAACTCTTTTTAAAGGTCGTTGATTTATCACCATTAACGATTCTTATAATCACAATTAAAGTGTTCATTTAGTTGATAGTTGAGTTGTCAATTGAATTATCGAATGTCCCTCTTGTTGATTGTTGGAAAATTTTAAAATAATATCTCCACTATTGTTTACAATTAAACAGCAATTTACTAATCGACTCATTTGATTATCTTTCACAGAGATACTATTATCCGATTGGAAACAAATCACTTAAACATAACATCGGAAAATATCATCAGTTGGCCTGCAAATAAAGACGCAATCACGACATGTCGCATGAAAGGTCAATCGGAATCTCTTTGTCGAAATTATGTCAAAGTTTTATTAGGGAAAAATATAACATCATCATCGACGATCATATCAGCTGATGCAAACTCGACAATATCACCAACGATAACTTCATTATCATCTAACGATTCCGTCGATATATTTGTTTGTGGTACTAACGCATTTCGACCTGTTTGTTCATGGAGAAAATCTGATTCTTTAAACTCTATCGAATCTGAAGACGATGCCTCAGGCAAATGTCCTTACAATCCCTCATGGAATACAACTTCACTGTTCACCAGTCGAGGTAAGTCAACAATTAGCTAATTTAATAACAATTAAAAGCTACTCAATTAATAAAACTCCTTTGAATTGATTTATTAATATTCAGAAAATTTTTGACAATTTCAAGTTTCCAATGTAATGAAATATTATCATGAAAATGAGCTTTTAATTAGCTGCTGGTCCTTTAATTGCAACTTGATTAGCCAATATGATTATCTTATATTAGTCATTAATCATTCATCATTCACAATTGCTCAAATTATCAAGTCAACTTGTAACAATTAACTTTTTCTGTTGATCATCATAATTGTAATTCAATGAAAGTTTTCATGCTCTTCTTGCTTTATGAGTGTTTCCCCTTTATAAAGGTTATTGTTTTGTAGACAATTTATTTATAATTTACCAATTATAATCTTAATTGTCCTTGATTTTGATAAAACAATTAAAGTGATGAGGTATTGTTAAGATGAGTATATCATCATCATTGATGATGAGCTACAGTAAGTTGTGAAATCTTTTCAATATCAAACGGAAACAAAAAGATTTTCAGAATTGAAAAGTTCATTCAGATTCTCAATTGAATTACTCAGAAAAAAAAATGTTCAATTCATTTGTTTAAACTTTCAATTGTTGTTTTTAAATCATCTTTGATTGTTGTTGAAATATAATTATTAGTGTAAATTGTTTACCATTTTCAAACTACCTACTCGGCTTAATTGTTACAATTAAAGTGTTCACATTTTGGTTAGCCAATGATTTTTGGTTGTGACGTTTTTCCCAATCTTAAAACTGGTTGATTGTTAAATCACTTTAACAGTTAAACAATTTAAGAGAAATCAACTTTTATCATCAGATAATAATCATTATTTAAATCATGATTATCTTTCATCATCATTATCACCAATTACTTTTAATCATGATTAGTAAACTGTTACTACTGTTTGACTGATTTGGTTAGTTAATCATTTCAAAGATTCACTTTTCACTTTGATTTCTTAAATAGTGATGATAATAATTAGTTAATTAAATGCAATTTACAAACATTTAACCACTTTACTCCTTTCAATTTCACCACAATTTAAATAATCGCTTTTTATATTTATACATTTGTAACAATTAACGAACGTGATTTACTTGATAATGATAATTAAAGATGAGCCAAGAAAATGATTAATCATGAGCTCTCACCAGAAATCAAACTATCAATAGTTTCTCACTTATTAATGGTGATAATTTAAGTAGCTAATTAATTGGTTCTTTTAATTGTTACTAAATTGAACATGTTAATTTCTAAATAACTGAACGACAATTAAAAATAACGAGTAACATTTGATTTTAGTGAACAAATCAACTAATCTATTGATAATTTAAGTTCCTAGTGGAAGTTTTTTCAATTAAGATTCAGAATAATTGTTGATTCATTTGTAATTACTCATACATTGTATATGGAATAAGCAACAATCTTAATTGTGATTTAGAATGTGATCTTATAGATTGAATTGGTTTAATTGTTGTACTATTTTTAATCATCTTGATTCACTTTGATTCATTAGCAATTTGATCAAAGGTTCAAAGAAAAGGTTCATCATCAAGGAGCAATTTAAATTAACTATTTAATTGACCTTAAATTTCACTGATAGTTTATTTAGATTAGTGGTTGTCAATTGATTGTTAACAATTTGTTGATTAACTTTAAGAAAAAGTTTGCCAGCAAAAAAACTTGATAAATCAAGCCGGTTAACCAATGAAAGTACAAAGTAGTTAACAGTTACTTGACAATTTCAATTGCTATTAACTGATCACTCAGTTGATTAGCAAACAATTAACGAAATAATCAAGATTGAATCTAATCATATATGCAGTTGATTGTAACTCGTTAATCGTAGTGGTCATTTGATTGTTGAGTCGAGTTTGAAAACTCGCATTGATTTTGACAACAAAACTTGACTTTATATCGATATTTTTACCTAACATATCAAAGCCTTTCGTTAAAAGAGGAGAAACAACATCTGACCAATGGTCAGTTGAATGTTAAACATTAACTTTAAGTGAGATTTAAACACTTGAAAGATTTGATAGTTTTCTGATCGAGTTGATGATCTAATTCTGGCCTCATCTTGTTTACCTCATAATATTTATTAGTTAAACCTTGTGAATGTCATGTTGTTGGTCAGTTATTTTTTCCTCAATTATATGGTCAGTTTCCGATGTTATAGATCGTTGATCAGAGTAATTAATAGCCAATGCCCAATCAAGAAAAAAACTTCTATTCAGCTATCATAACCTTGGATATAATATCAATTTAGAGGTAACAATTTATTCCCATCAAAAATAATAAACATCCATTGAAAAGTTGTGCTTATCTAAATTGAAGATTGAATTGAACAATTAATAGTCAAAATTATCTTATTATTATTATTGAAATAAGATATGAATTGCTGGTAATCAACAATCATGATCAAAATTCAGGGTTGAAGTCTATCAATCATATTTACCTGGTGAAAACTATCAACAAGTTTTAAAAAAGCCAAAAATAACAAATTGTAAATGATTCAAGTTTTTCTATTACCTTGATATTCATTAGTTTTTACATATCACTTCCTATTTATCATGACAATTATCATGATGATGATGATGATGACGATTAACTGCACAATTATCAATTCGGGTAATTGTCAAGTTTTCATTTTATCGATAATCATAATCATCACTCATCTATACTAATAAATTGTGAGCAATTACTTGATACTCATTTTCTTGGGAAAATCGTATTCACTATTGTATTATTATCAACCTATTTTATAATCCGTTACCTGGGCTTTGAATTAATCTGGTTCAGTTGTATCTCCCCTTGAGAACTGTGTTTATAACAACTAAATTTATAAACTAATTGTACCTTGATTGTTGAACGTTGTTCCTTTGCAGGTCATTCCTACGGATCGATGAATCGGTTAATGATAAATAATCATCTTGAATTTTATATATACTTTTTTTAATCTCTCTCTCTCTCTCTCTCGCAGTTCCGTCTCTTAAAATGACCATTAAATTGATACACTTTAGTAATTGTTGACCATTGTAACTACTGGTTTATCTCTCAGGTAATCAATTGTAATCATATGGACAATTTCAATGGTCAGACAATGAAATTATTCATAATGATAACAATCAATTGGTCAACATATCAATACATTAACCAGGTCAACAATTTAAAGTTTAATCATTGGGATAATGAAAGTTTTTTTTCAATATCTCAGTATCATAACCTGTCAACTATTCACAATTTATTAATTTTTTACAATCAACATTTTTTTTCTGCTATTGTTAATCAATTGGATTAGTTGTAAACAAAAAAAAACAAGGAAAATATTTGACAATTAATCAACTAAATTAAGTTACAAATCAGATTAAATTAGTTGTACAACAATCAAAACTTTTCTTACCTTAATCAATTGTTAGTCCCTCTTGAGGTCAACTTTTGATTTTAATTAATTTTGATTATCAGATTAATACTTTTTGTTTTTAATCACTAATCTTAAATCTATCACTTAATTATTATCACTATGAGATTGTTTAATTGCTGCAGAGAAGATCAATTAATGGTTATTATAATTGCAATTGATTATCTTGATTGCTGTCAATTGCTGTTTGCAATTTAATTTGTGTTGATTGATGTAATTAAAAAAAAATGACCGTTTAAAAAATTAGCAGCAATCAACTGCTAATATTTGTCAAATTGATTTTGAAAGTTGATTATTATGTATTTTTAAACTTTGATTGCAACTATTAATTATATAAGAGTAATTTTAATTGTCAGCCTGATGATTATCATCAAGTTAATTTTAACCAATTGGTTTAATTGATAAACCTAATGTTGTAATATATTGGCATCAGGTATCAACATGAACTGATCATAATTGTATCCACAATGATTTGCTAATTGCTGGGATTATCTGAGTTGCATTGATTTATTTATTAGGTTTACCATTGAAAGATTATAAATCCTTAATCATCACGATGATCATTAATTGTTAACAGAGACAAATAATGATTTATATTAGCTAATGTGTTACCTTTGCCTTTTTTTTACCTGTTTATTTGCCTTTAGGGTTGAAAATTTATTACATTTGAAACGTTTGCTTAGCATTGATTTTTTGTTTTCATCTTCGGGTGGATCAACTTTTTCCCAAAATTTATGATGTAGGATGATGAAGACAAAGATGAGGATGAAGATGAAGATGATAGGAGGATTAGAAAGATGCTTCATCCTTTAGCATCCCTTTTTCGTTGTGAGTTGTTACCTTATAAGATGAAGATGAAATATGATCATTGGGATGATGTTGATTTTCAAATGATTTCTCATTTCAAATTGCTACCTGATAGAAAGTGTTAATTTTGATTATTAACTTTGTGATGTTTTAATCAAATTGTGATCAATCATGATGATTTCGCTTTAATTGTAACAATTTCAACTTATTATTACCTGGAAAAGATTATTACAATCACACAATTCCCTCAATTGTTAATCGATTTTGTTTTCTCAAGGAAACAGAAATGATGTTTTTTTTTCAACTGAACACAAAAAACACAATTGCAATTAGTTTGATTCGTTGATTGTAATGTCCAGTTTTACTTTGTTTGGTCAAACTTTTTTTTATCCACTTGTTGTATTGATGATTAGCACATTAAACTGATTGAGTTTAACTTTTTTTCTCCCTCTTTACCTTAATAGATTAACTGAAATTGGGTGAACAGTTATAAGAAATTAGGTTGAAATTGATTGAATTATTTTTTTCTTCGTCTTCGACATCATCATCTTAATCATTGTTATTATTTTGTTTCATCTTGTTGACCACAAAGTGACCATAAACAATTTCCAAGAGAAAACTTTATCTTCATCATCGTCTAATATTTATCATCATCAATTGATTTTAATGGTTACAAAAAGTGTATATGAATTGACATTAGGAAAAAAAATCAGTTTCTCATTTTCTCATGATTATAATCATCATCATGATGACTATTATTATGTTGATGATAATTTTGTTGATCATCATCACTGTTGTTGTTGTTGTTGTTTAAATTCATTCAATTGGGAGCATACAATTAATGTTATGCTCTGTTGATTGTTAATACAAAATGATGATTTTTTTATCTTCATCTTTTCATCCTAACGGTTTGTGATTCATTTTCATCCATTGGTAATGATTATCAACGGAAGTACATTAACTTGTTGTTGTTTATTTGTCAACAATTTCAAATGAAAATCATAATGATAACATATATTAAACCCGGAAATATTTGTTACTTACTGATTGTTAATCATTGTGATGATAGTTTAACAACAATTTAATCAAAAATCATGATCAAATGATGATGATAACGATGATTATTACCTGAGATGAGCCTGAAAATAAATTTCAATCAAATTTTTGCTTCACCATCATATCAACAATCATAGCAAATTTATTTATATATTATTACAATAACTATTAACAATTTAGTAATTGTTGTAAACATTTTCCCTCGAAAATTGTAATTGTACAATTGCCATTGATATGCAATCAATTGATTTGCAATTTAATTTTTCATTTTCTTCCCATTCATTACAATTGAAAATGATTATTACAATTTCATCTCCACCTTGATTGTTATTGTTAACACCCAATGATATTATTAATAATATATTTTTCACTAACTAAATCAATGTGTAATTATTGATTATATTGAGTAAATTGTGATCAATTGGGCTTAATCATTTGTAATCTTGATCGCTACCACTACTAAATCAATCAATTTCCATTCATTGTTTAATCATTTAAAGATCAGATCAATTTGATTAAAGACAAAGCGAAAATGTTGATTAAGAAAAATGAAAAATGATCTTAATCCGAAAAGGATTTAATATTTTAATTGTTTTGTTTTCACCTCTAAAACAATTTACTAATTGTTTACTGGGTCAAAGTGAAAGTTTTATTGGATTTTAAGAAATATAATCAGACAAATTATTAGGTCAATAGATTGATGATTTAGTGTAAATCAATTGCCTTTGATTTTTGCTGAGTATTTGTTACAATTAACTTGATATTATATTGGGATTTTAATCTAATTGTTAATTGTTATTGATTCTCTCTTTAGGTATTTATTTTTACTTTGGGCCAATGGATTCTCAAGGTCATGATAATGCAGTTCTACGATCTCGACCTTCAAAATCATCAACGAAATGGGCACGAACCATAGCAGCCGATACTCGATTCATTAATCATGATGCTTCATTTATCACTTCGTTTGAACGAGATGATTTTGTTTACTTTATTTTTCGTGAATCAGCAATTGAATACATGAATTGTGGTAAAACGATTTACTCAAGAATCGGCCGATTGTGTATCGGTGATAAAGGTGAACGAAGATCATCCGGACGCTATTTGACCACATTCGTAAAGACGAGATTGAACTGTTCACTTCCAGGTCAATTTCCATTCTATTATGATGAAATTCAATCAGCCTTTTATACCAATGGTACAATTTATGGTGTTTTCTCAACTCCAGAGTAAGTTAATTAAAAACATTTCCAATTCTAAACTAACAATTGATTGTTTCTTGTTTTCCACCTTTAATTGTAATGCTAAAGGTTAATTGCCAAGGTTATTTAAGTATCGCTGGTGTGTTGAAAGTAATTGATTGATTATTTTACCTCATTGTGTAACCTTGTTGGATACTATTAAAAAAAATGAGGTTCAATATTGATTCCTAATCTAGATTATTTTAAATTACAATCAAGAAATTTAACCACAAAAAAAACAAATCAAATCGAATCAATAAATTGTCAGTTTAAGGTTAATACTAATCAATAACAATAATAATACAATTTACATTGAATTATTTCATCAATAATCAACAGTAATCAACGTTTACCTTATTGTTTAAACTAAATCGTTACCTTAAGTTTTTTTTTGTTATGATTTTTTTTAGTGATTAAGATTAAGATATTAAGTTAAGCCAAGGACAGGCTAAAGTTCATTGTAATTGGGCCTCTCCTTGAATTGTGATACTTGATTAAAGGTATCTCCCGATTTGATGCTTTTAATAACAAACCTGGAACACCCTGTATTCAAGTTAGATTGAGATATAAATTACAGGTTTATGTAGATATAAAGTGCATGTTGTCAGTGGTCATCAGATGGACAGTTGAATTTACAGTGGGCCTTGTTGGCCCCTTAACGAAATGGTCATCATGTTATAATTGTGAATGTGAACAAAAAGTGATGAGGATGAAACCATTTCAATAACTACCTGTTGCTGATGATAGAGTATAAGAAAACTAGGCTCTCTCTCATCTTCTGGATGATGAATACTTTTTAATTCAATGCTATCATTAGATTATTATTAATTCGTTGACAATAGAAAACTAAATTTTTCTTTTCTTTGGTGTTCCCCTGAATTCATATTGGAACTAATTGTTTTCCACCTTGTTCTTAATCATTTATTGATGCTCTTTTTCCCACTTTACTTTTATTCTGTCCATTTATCTGTCATCATCATCATTTTTTTCTTCTTCTCATTCTATTGATTGATAAGTGTTGTTGTTATTTAGTCGTAGGCTAAACAGGGGGATAAATATGAAGATGAAGATGATGTTAAGCAGGATGAGAAGAAGAAAACAACTTGAGTGAGAAGATGATAAAGACTCCAAAGGCCATTTGAAGCCTGTTTACCTTTTATATTTATCATTATTATGAAGATGATAAATATGAAAACGAAGATGAAGATGATAACTCTCTCTCTCTCTCTCTTGATGAGCTTTTAAGGTTCCTCTCTCTCTCTTTTAAATTTATCTACTCTCTTATGTGGAAGATGATCAGTCATCAAACTTTACTCTCTCATCATCTTCTTCATCTCTATCTCACCTTTCTTGTGATGCTAATAATCCAATGGTGAAACCGTGACTAAGAAAAGTTCATTAATACCTGTTGATGAATTTTCTCATTGTTATTTTTTTCTTATTGTTAAAACTTTACAATTAAAGTGAAAAAAAGATTTCTCTTCTAATTTAATATCATCAATTTGTCAATGACAAAAGTTTCCAAACAAATTTCATTAAAATCTCCTAAAAATATTTGCATGTTCATGATGATGATGATTATCTCATGATGATTTTCATTCATATGCATAAGAAAATGTGAAACTTTTTCACTTTTTCTTAATTTTCATCATAGTAAATTGTATATCATTAACTGTCAACTTACTCTCTCCTCTATTAAATTTGATTAACTAATCAATTCAATTGAAAAAGTTAAACTGGTTGATTGTTATTAATATTTTGTTTTCCTCATTTATGACAACAAACTGATCATCGTCAACAAGTAAAAGTTAATGATTAACGTTTGATTGTTATTAACTTTAGGGCTTCCCAAATTTGTAATCAGTTAACAACAATTAGCATTAACATTATTAAATTAACCTGAAATTTTCAATCAAAAAATAATCAATCAACATGGAAAAAGTTAACCAAAAAACTTAATCACTAACACACAAAATTTACTTTAAGTAAATCAAATTGACACAAACAAGATACCATTTTAATAATAACAAAATGTTACAAAAGTACACTAATTGCAATTAACTAACAATTTGCATACTAACAGTTAATAAATTGTTAAACTACTTCCTTTTTTAATTGCAAACACTGCATAAAAAATAATTAGGATAATAAAAATAATCAAATTGCAGTTTTTTTTGCTCAAATGCAAACATTTCCGTTACCATAATGATCCAACAGCAATTAACTGATTATTACAAAGGCAAAACTTGAACAATTAACTTTCCCTTTGACCTTATAATAAATGGATAAGCTTGATATGCAATTTCTGGCTTCATTTTCCAGTTAATAATAAGAAATAAATTTTTAATTGTTCACTAATTTTATGCTATTTTTTGGTTATAACTTTTTTTCCCTTCTCTTGTCTGTAAACAGGAATAGTATCCATGGTTCCGCTATTTGTGCCTTTACAATTTCCTCCGTTGAAAATGCATTTCAAGGGCCATTCAAGCACCAAGACACACCAGGGTCCATGTATAAGCCTGAATATAATAAGGACATCGCCTCACAATTTTCATGTAGCCCCAATTCTGGAAAAACGGATCAAATCCGAAACCAGGCTAAATACCAGTTGATGGATCGTTCAGTTGGTACACCCGAGGGTCGACCGCTTTTAATTGAGAAGGCCAAGTTAACTCGAATCGTCGTTGATTCAATACGAACGTTACATTATTCTCAGGTGACTGCTTTGTTTGTTCTAACCAATGGAAATCGATTACGTCGTTATACCGTTTGGCCTGGATCGTCTCGAGCTTGTTTCGTTTCTGAATGGGATTTGTTGTTACCTGTTAATGATTCGGTGATTTCTATGTCCATGGTTCCTCTTGCACACTCAATTTATTTGGGAACAATTAAATCACTGAGAAAAGTTTCCATGTCAAATTGTAATGAATTTAAAACTAAATCAACCTGTTTGAATTCAGGTGATCCTTATTGTGCCTGGAATAAAGTTGATGGGATTTGCGGGCGATTTAATGATTTGGGAGCAAATTTAAATGACATTTGGTTACAAAATGAAGATGTTACTTGTGGTGAAAGGTCAAAAGTGGTAGACTGGTCACCTTGGTCTGACTGGCGATATTGTTCAAGATTAAATGTCAATGGAAACAGTTCATCTGAGTGTTTATGCCGTTCACGAAGTTGCCTTTCTTTGGGTTGTAATGATCCAGAAGAGATTGAAGTTTCCAATTGTACCGTTCATGGTGGATGGACATTATGGTCTGAATGGACACCATGTACAACTCCTTGTGGCTCCGAGGGAACCAAAACTCGCTCTAGAAGCTGTACCAATCCAACACCCGAACATGGTGGGTCAAATTGTGTTGGAGCTTCGTTTGAAAAGATTCAATGTTTAGATAATCCTCCATGTACCACCACAACCACCACCACCTCGACAACAACAACTACAACCTCATCCAGTTTATCTGATGGTGTGGACGATGATGGAGATAATGGTTGGGGACCTTCGCTGAATGGGAGGAATGTCCAGTTAAATGTGGCGGTGGTGTTCAGATTCGTCGACGTATTTGCTCAGACCCTTCGCCTCGTGTAAATCGTTGCCGAGGATGTGATATGGAATGGAGACTCTGTAACACTGAACCTTGTAAAGAAGTTCGTCGAACCTATGAGACACCCTGGTATCGAGTTAATTTTACACTTGACGGAAGTGAATCAATAGAGGAACGATTAAGATTCACTTGTAAAGCCTTTAATTTACCCGAAGAAACTGATCTTACATTAGCTTCACGTCGAGAGGAGCGAACTGTCCCATTAAATTGGTCCGAATGTTCAGTTAAATGTGGCAAAGGAGTTCAATTCATGTACACAGGGTCAATTTACCTGAAAAGAGTTTGTGATACCAAAATCGATTGTATCGGCTGGTCATCTTGGTCTAAATGGTCAAATTGTATAAACGGTGAAAGAATACGAGTTCGAACATGTAACCAAAAAGAGAAATGTGAAGGTTCAGAAGAGGAAAGAATACCCTGTACATTAACATCGATTAACAACAATAACAAAGGTCTAAATTCAGTTGGAGATGATTATTCATCTGATCCGATAATCGATAATAACGATTTAAGCTCATCAGGAAAAGGAACCATTGAAGGAATTGGAAACATCGGCGATGAAGATTCATCATCATCATCTTCGTATCGTTTAGGTGGTTTTATATCAGCTGTTGGTCCATCGTCATCTCTATTTGATGAAACAAACAATTATAATCAACCTGGTAATCCAAATATCGGCGGTTGGTCAACTGGTCTTCTAATCCTGTTCACTTGTATCGCTTTGATTGTGGGCACTTTAATTGGTACTCTAGTGACCTACACAATCATGAGACGAGCCTCGTTAATGGAAGGAGATAATTCAAAATTAAGTCTTAAATTGTTCACATCACACAATTCAAATGAGCTGAAAAGCTGTAATCCTTATGTGACCGCCGATCACTTTAGGATATCAAATCTTAATCCATCTTCATCGGCATCAACGTGTTTACTCAATGGTGTCGGTAGACCTTCATCATTAACTTCGGCATCATCGCCGATGCTTAATTATAGCCCATCAAAGGAGGCAACAGTTAAAAGAGCTTCAACAATTAGAGCTAAATTAAATTCAGACCAAAATTTTTGAGGAAACAAATTTCAAACTCATTCGCTGTAAATAGATAATCAATCTCATCCATAATTTGTACATCATCTTCATCTTCATCATCTCTTGACCATCAAAACACCTTGGACCTAATGGTCAACATCATCTTCATCTTCATCTTTATCATCATCATCATCATCACGAAAAAGAAAAGCTAATCAACTTTGTACATATGAATTGTTTTTTTTACTCTTATGTTTATCACTACAATTTGACCAACAATTAATAGATTGTCATATATAAATTGTCAAACAACTATTACAATAACAATCAAATGATTAATGATTCATTAATTGTAAAAGTTAATGAGTTCATTAGAAGGTTTTTCTTTTTAAATTATTACAACAATTATCAATCAGATCCCCTTTTACCTTCACTCAAGTCAATTTATAATTATTATCATTACTGTCAAGTTAATTATCATTCAAATTGAAACGTATTATTTGATTAATCAGTTAGAATTGATTGTAATTTACTGCCAATTGTTTATGTAAAAAGATTTAATTGTTTGACAATCTATCAGTTCCTTTTTCTGTTAATTGATACTCTCAAATGTAATTATAAATCGTCTTACAATTGATATACTTTGATATTATTATTATTATGTAAAAGAAAAGCTCATCAAATGATAATTAAAAAAAAGACAAATAATCAATCAACAATTGGTCACTTATTTGACACTCCAAACTGACCAATACACCTTTTGGTCAGTTGAATTTTCAGTCAACTTTCATCTGGAAATGTTGATTATTACATAGGAAGTTTTTGTTTGCAAGAAAAGCAATTAGTTTATTTGATTAATTATAATGAGATGTAAATTAGTTTCCTTTCATCTTAATTGTTGTTTTCTGTTGTCAGTTGTTGTTGACTGATTGAGGTGCATGGTCATCTAGTGGTCAATAATGTTCGTGAATAATGGTTACCTTGTTAATAGAAGGAGGAAATTTAATTGTTTCAAGTGGAAAAGAGGTAAATTGTGTTTGACAATTACGTTTTTCCAATTGATTATCAGTCTATTGTTGACATTGTTTGCTGTTTACGAGGAAACAGCTGATCCATCGGAAAGGCGCAATTCCGTTTCCAAGGCTATCGGCGGATTTGACCCGATGACCAATCCAATTGGAAAATATTTACCGCATCTTCGTGATCATATGATGTTTTCATTGCTTGGATTGGGATTATCATCGGCAAACTCATCGGCGACAATGTTGACAAGTTTAGGATTCAATCTGTTGACATTTACCTTTGCCTCGTCGTGGGCGCTTTTATGGCCTAATTTGGTCACATCGATCCATCGAAAACCTTTCCTCTCCTTTGGGATCAATTCAATTGTCCGGTCAACTTATTATGGCCTCGGAGTGACTCTATCGCTTGGAAGTCTTCAAGGTAAATTAAGTCCAGTTCAGTGTATAATTTTATCAGTGATCGAGGTTCCAATAATATCATTGACCGATTATGTTTTATCTGAATTACAAGTTGCCGATAAATCAAAGGGATTAACAGTTTTCACCTTCTCGGTTTACTTTGGACTAAGTGTCTCAGCGATAATCTGTCGTTATACTCGAATAATTTGTCGAAAGGTACAAAATCGTAAATCGGACAGAGAGATGATTGTACTTTTAGGAACAATTTTCACCTATTTAGCCTCAACAAGTTCGAGCTCTTTAGGTGATGAGAAATATTATGTTGCCCTCAATACTTTTATCGCTGTAACGGCTTCGTGTTTATCGGCATTCGCAGTTTCCTCACTTTTAGATTCACAAGATCGTTTCTCAATTCGACATGTTCGCATTGGATCAGCTGCTGGATTTGTCGCAATGTCCATTATTGGTCAATACATTTTACATGTTTACATGGTTTTCGTCTGTGGGATTAGCGTTGGCGCTTTATCCATAATAATGGATACACAGGTTAATCCCTTTCTCTTCAATCGTCTACGTATTCATGATACTCACTCAATCCATGCAGCTTATGGTTTTCCCGCTCTAATCTCAGGATTATCTTCAAGTATCTTTGCTTACATGGCTGATTTATCATCATATGATTGCAGTTTATATCAAATATTTCCTGCTCGAGCTCCAGCCAGCAATTCAAGTACAATGGATCATAATTCTGATAAGATTCAAGTACTTGATCAGATCTATTCCGGGATTGGACGATCAGCTGATTCTCAAGCTTTGTATCAGTTGTTTGGATTAATTTTCATCTTGATTATCTCAATAGTTACAGGATTAATAACAGGGATGATATTAATCCAGTCGATCTTTGATCCACCAAAGAAGATTGATCTCTTTCAGGATGGACACTATTGGGTATTGTCCAGTGAAGGTGAAGATACTTTTGCCACTGAAAGTCTTTACGAAAGTGATCCAAGTCCAGAAGAAATGACCAGTCGAAATATTAGATTTTCTTAATTTTCCTCAATACATATGATGATGATTAGGGAATTAGAATATTAATTGGAATTAATATCGTTTTGTTACCATTTGTTACTTGATAATTGTTACATTATCATTATGTAAATGTCATTGTACTTAATTGTAAACAAGGAAGATAGAGATTTAATTATCTTCCCGTTTTGTATTATCTTATTATTCAATTTCATATTCAAGGTTAATGATGTTTGTTAATTAATCTGTGACTGTCAATTATGTTGATTACGGTTTATGGTGATCATTTTATTCCGTGTAATCATTGTGATTATTATCATTCAAGTTTAATGTATTCACCAACGTTATGATCAAGTTGACACGAGGAAATTTTAAATCACTGAAACGCAATTTAGTTTGACAGCCAAAAAGTCAAGATAAACAAATCTCAAAATTGACTCAATCATTCAGGAAATGCAATTAATTTGCTTTCTAATTATCCTTATTTGTCCCACTCTCTCTCTCTCTCTGTGGGATGATTAGTGAAATCAATAGACGTTTACCAATTGACTGGAGACAATTAACTTCTTTACCAAGTTAATATTCACTCAATTAGGTATTTAATGAGTTTCTTTTGTCGCCTATTATTATGGTAGACCAATTGATTAGTTAATTACATCTGTAATAAACTCAGTTGAATTCCGTCTCCTTGGAATTACAGTGGAAAATTTAACGATGAACTTTGATCGTCTCCTCTTAGACATTACGAGTCCATTATTTTAAACCTTTATAACTTTGACCTTCGCATATACCAAATAAATTGTTCTTTTTCAGGTACTGTGTCAATTGATCCATTAAACAGTTAGAAAATTACAAAATAACCGAAAGAAATACAAATGCATGAAGGCGATGATGTAACTATGAATTTCCGTTAACTGAGAATAAAAAAAACAGTAAAAGAGAAAAACGAAGAAAACAAAGTAACAATTGTTACTTTTTAGAAATTAACTCAAGAAAAGCAACAAATTAAATTGACACGATTAAAGAATAGAAACTAATTGTAACAAAAACGAAGAAAAAAAGACAAAATTAATCAAAGAGAAACCAAAATGGCGACATAAACATCAACAAAAATGGAAGAAAAAATTTTCTCCAAAAAGAACATATGATTCCACCAGATGTCGCACTTATATGTTCTTTTATTTTCGAACATTTAACTTTTTTCAGCTCCGTGTTATTCCATCAAAATTAGCTAATCAAATCCTCTTATAAACAAGTTTTTATTATCCCAAAGTGTCTATCAAGTCTTGGTGATCATTTTGACACCAAAGTTACCCTAAAATGTGTCAAAGTGACATAGTTAAGTCCATCAACAATGGTTGTGATAAAAACCACGTTGAGCGGGAATCCATCTTGGATGACCTACAAGACCTGGTCCTCACCAACCTCTCAGTAGCTGCAAAGAAAAAAATTGGTCCCAAGGTAGAGAGTCTAATCAACAAGCTTCGCAACATGTTGAATGAAAAGAACAAAGAAAAGACCAGTATCGAAAGTAAAGTGGATTCACTTCTCGAAAAAATCAACAACATCAACAACAATCCAACCAAAGCCTCGTACGCCAAAAAAGCCTCGAGTCAACCCAAAGAAACCCAAGTTATAATCAAGATCAACGAGAATGAAGACAAAGTTACAATTTATAATACACTTACCCAAAGTTTTCGACAAGACAACCTGCAGATCAAAAATATAAAGAAAATTCGCCATGGTCTAATCATTACATCTGATGATTCCAAACTTAAAGAGAAAACCATCAACAAGGTAAAAGAACTTGGATTAGACAATTACGTTGAATTAAAAGACGTAAAGAAACTGCTTCCTCAAATCCAAATAACAATCCCTAAAGATGATTTCGAAAACGTTGAAACCTTTAAAAAGAGAAACTGTTTGGATGAAACCAACGAGGTCAACTTCGTATCAACCTACGACTTTAAAACTCGACGAAATACTACCATGACAAAGATCACCATCAGAATGGATAGAAAAAGTAGAGAAAAGATCCAACAGAGAGGCAAAGTGTTCATTGGATGTACTGGTACCAACTTCGAAGACAACTACTACGTAAAACATTGTTCTTCTTGTTTTAAAATAGGCCAACACACTAAGCGATACTGCGAAGAAAAACCAGTTTGCACCAAATGCTACGAATACCATGAAACTTCAACATGCACAAAAGAAAAAACCAACCAGAAGTGCTGCTTGTTATGCAGAGAGAATGGTTTCGAAACGACCGATCATCACCCTAAATCAAAAGAATGCGTCTCATATAATCTCACTATTAAAAGAATACAATCGATAACCGATTGGGACCAAGATGAAACTACTCTTTAAAAGCCACAACTGCAGAAATTCAATCGTCAAAACTTGTGAATTATTCAAACAAATTAATCAACTAGACGCAATCTTTATACAAGAGGGAAATACAAACTTCATATTATCTACGAAACTACCAAATGGCATCAAAATGTTCCACAACGAACAAACCACCACCGTCATTCGTAACCACGTCAACTCCAAGACCTGGACAATTGGTAAATCATCCCTAGTAAACATGATCACAATAGGAACCAGAAAAATCGTCCTGGTAAACTTATACTTATCACCAAACATGAGTGAACCCGAATTCAAATCCGAAACTGATGAGCTAAAGAAAAGATTACTTGGCCTCAAGGGAAACCCCATGATCATCAGTGGTGACGTTAACTCTACGCATCCTGATTGGTCATTCAAGATCAACAAAGCCACCAGAAGAAGAGGACAAATTCTGGCCGACATCTTCAAAGAACTAAAAATCAACTTCGAATCACCGAATCAGACAAACTACACGTACATTCATCATGACAAGAGCGTCCAATGGATCGATATCTATGGTAATAACTTCAATGAATTCTATCAGAACTCACATAGTCATGCCAATCTAGAGGCAACTCACCTTGATCACCGCCCAATAAACTACTCAATTGAAGCCAATATATACACTGGTAACCACTCACCCAAATTTGTAACATTCGTAAACAAGAAACGCCACTACGAAAACGTCCATGATTTATGGAAAAAATATTGTTGCTCCGAATTCACCAGAAGTGAGGATCTTTGCAACAACATCAACACCTTCATAAAAGAAACGATAAAATGCGTACAACTGAACACCACGAAACGGCCGATCCGCTCCACCTTTAAGTGTGAAATTCCAGCCCAATTGCTTGAGAGAGAAAAGAAAGCGAAGAGAAACGTCAGAAACAACTTCTCAATAACTCACAAAAATGAGCTAAAGGAAGTTCAATCTGAAATCTACTCTCTCGTCCAAAACATGATCGCATCCAAATTCGCCATCACATTGGAAGCGAATCAACTTTGGTACAACATCAAAAAGATACTTGGCTCACACGAAATTGAAAGCACTGACGAATTCATCCTCAATGTTAACAATGAAACTGAGTCATTTACATGCATTGACATCGATCATCTGAGCTTTGAAGAAAAGGACAATTTAGACCTCATCATCCGTAATGATTTCGACCTCTCAAATCTCATTAAAATAATCAAAGATATGAAAGACTGTTCAACTGGGATTGACCTAATAAACAAAGAGATGATGCTGAGGCTATTAAATGACTACCCGGAAGCGCTGGTAAAGGTAATCAACCAACTAACATCAAACAACCTCTTCCCTCAGAGCCTGAAAATATCCAAAGCGGTTATGATACCAAAATCTGATGGTGAACGAGTTAGGACAATTAACGTCCAACCAATGTTAGGTAAGTTACTTGAAACCCTCATACTCAGCAAACTTGGAAGTGAAATAAACTTGAACGAGAGAGATGGTCAATATGCGTACAAAACCAACTTGTCCACAACCCACCTCGTCGAGGACCTAATCACCTCATCCTTATACCTAAACAACACATCATTCATCATCGCCACGGACCTAATTGGTGCCTTCGACTGCATACATCATAGACCAATCATTGAACAACTCATCAAACAGAAAGTATCCTTATCCACCGCCAAAGGAATAATAAACTTCCTCAAAGATCGCAAATCCGCTTTCCTACTCAACAACAAACTCTACTACAAAAAAACCCTCTTAGGCGTTCCCCAAGGCAGCATATTAGGTCCAATCCTCTTCAACCTCGGAGTCAAACAAACTCTCATAAACATCAAGAGAGAAATTGAACTTATGGTCTCGAATGAGCTAAAACTCTTCCCGAGGGTAGAATTAATGGCCTACGCCGACGATCTCTTTATATCCTTCAACTTGAAAAATGAAGACCCAAACATCTTCAAACAATTTTATAATTCCACCCTCAATATAATTACAAGAGAAACCAGTAAAATTAATCTATCTATATCCATGGATAAAACGAAAGTTCTGTCCAAAATATCTCCTCTATTAACCAATATTCCAAACTGCAGCCAAAACATAGAGATACTTGGAGTTCCAATTGATACAAGAAAAAAGGCCATCATTGATTGTGAGAAAATCATCGATAAATTACACACAAGCACCACAAAACTGAAGATCAGAAAATCATTAATCACCAGATTACCATTAAGAATAGTCAAGATGATCAACAACAGCTTTATCATATCCTCAATCAATCACCTCTCACCTTTCATCCTCATGATCGCTTGCAAAAACAAAGGCTTCCTCACTGAAATTGATAAACATGGAAATGACCTGATCAGAACCTCGTGCAGATTCACTGCCAACGATACGAAATTGGCAAGCTACTCTCTATTAGGAATCGAACCAGCATATAACTCATTGATCAAAGCAGGAGCCAAATACCTTTTCAACAGAGGTTTCGCTAGAAAATCAGTCATCTTATCAATGACACGAACCTCTTGTGAACTTTACCCCTCCGTCGACAACGATAAGCTATGGAATGGAACCAACTGTTACTCAAAACAACAGATGAAAAAATTCTGGCAGTTTGCTTGGGAAAGAAAACTCAAAGAATCCCCTGACTATTCTGTCCTGATCGGTAGAAACGCTGTTAAGCTAAACACCAATTGGTACAAAATGAACATCAAACTCAGAACTCTTCTTGGTATTTACGACTTCCTAATAGAAGACAAAAAATGCTCATGTGGCCTAAATGGACCAACCTCATTTCACCTCATTTTCAATTGCCCAACTTTCGACTCATCCAGAGAGCTACTACAAGAAGAAAACA